CTCTGCAGAAGATATGGACAGGCTTGGTTAGCCCTTGACATCCACTGAGTTGCTGTCCATTGGTCCAGCATCCATCCTGTCCTTGTCCATGTAAAACAAGCATGGCGGCCACCCCTACATCTCTGTTCTCTAGTTACCTCCATCTTCCCAAAAGTTCCAGAGAGAAACCAGCATTTCCCTCCAGGGGATGTTTCTGGGGCTCAGGGACTGGTGGAAGTCAGGAGGGGAAAGGAGGGCCCTCTGGGAGACGATGACCTCACAACGAGAGGTGCTCAACTAGTCACAAAAAATCAGGCATGGGATGTGTGATGATTGGATGCCCTTTCTTGGTCCTTGGTAGATGTGGGTATATGTGCTCCAAGGGATCCTCTTCTGAGTGTCCCGTGCCCAGCCCATCAAGATGAAATATAAACAGTGGCTGTAAAGTCTCTGTCCACATGCCACTCATATGATGGCTATGCAGTTTGTTTTTATAAGATTTTTTCCTCTTTTTTTTTTTTTTTTTTTCTAGACAGATTCTTGCTCTGTCACCCAGGCTGGAGTGCAGTAGTGCGATTGGCCCATGGCCCACTGCAGCCTCCACCTCCTGGGTTCAAGTGATTCTAATGCCTCAGCCACCCACATAGCTGGGATTACAGGCACATGCCATCATGCCTAGCTAATTTTTGTATTTATGGTAGAGACAGGGTTTCGCCCTGTTGGCCAGGCTGGTCTTGAACTCCTGGCCTCAAGAGATCTGTCCACCCTGGCCTCCCAAAGTGCTGGGATTACAGGTGTGAGCCACCACACCCAGCCTCATTTCTCCTCTAATTTAAACATATCACATGCTGAGTATAAAAAATTTGGAAGGAGCAGAAAAACACAAAGAGAATGAGTATTTTTTTTTTCATTCTATTAGTTCCATTTGGAACAATATGAGCATTTTCTTGGGTCAAATGATATCTTTCATCCGGATCATTTCTTTTTTAACTTTTAATTTTGAGATAATTTTAGACTTAGAAAATATGCAGAAATAATGCTGAGAATTCCCACATACCCTTCACTCCTCTTCCCCTAATGTTGATATATAATATACCAGAGTTCAATTAGCAAAGGCAGGAAATGAGCAGCAATACTGTTACTAGTAACTAAACTACAGACCTTATTCACATTTTGCCAGTTGTCCCATTGACATTATTTTGTTTTTCCATTTTTATTTTTGTTGTTGTTTTTGAGACAAGGTCTTACTCTGTCACCCAGACGGGAGTGCAATGGCACAATCATAGCTCACTGCAGCCTCGAACTTCAGGGCTCAAGCAGTTCTCCTACCTCAGCCTCTCAAGTAGCTGGGACCACAGGCACTTACCACCACTCCCAGATAATCTTTTGATTTTTTTGTAGACACAAGATCTCACTTTATTCCCCAGGCTGGTCTTGAACTCCTGGGATCAAGGGATCCTCCCATCTCAGCCTCCCAAAGTGCTGGGATTATAGGTGTGAGCCATTGCACCTGGCGTATTAAATTTTTTTTTTTTCTAGCACAGGATTGAATCAGGCCAGTTGCAGTGGCTCACACTTGTAATCCCAGCACTTTGGGAGGCCAATGTGGGTGGAACACCTGAGGTTAAGAGTTCAAGACCAGCCTGGCCAACATGGTGAAACCTCATCTCTACTAAAAATACAAAAGTTAGCTGAATGTGGTGGCGTGCACTTGTAATCCCAGCTACTTGGGAGGCTGAGGGAGGAGAATTGCTTGAACTCGAGAGGTAGAGATTGCAGTGAGCTGAGATTGTGTCACAGCACTCCAGCCTGCCTGGGTGAAAGAACAAGACTCTGTCTCCAAAAAAAAAAAAAAAAAAAAAAAAGAGAGAGAGAGAGAGAGAGAGAGAGAGAAAGAATAGGATTGAATCCAAGATCCCATGTTGCATTGCTTGTCATGTCTCCTTAATTCTCTCTATCCTCACATTCCTTGGTCTTCTCTTTGTCTTTCATGATCTTGACATTTTTGAAGAGTGTTGGGCCCCTTCCCCTTGGGTCCAGGTGCAATGGCTCATGCCTGTAATCCCAGCTCTTTGGGGACCTGAGGTGGGAGAATCCCTTGAGTCCAGGAGTTAGAGACCAGCCTGGACAACAGAGCATGACCTCGTCTCTCTACAAAAAAAAAAAAAGAAGAATATCCTTCAACTTGGATATGTCTCTTGTTTTCTCATGATTAGATTGAATTTATAGGTGCATTTTGGCCAGATTATCACAAAACTGATACTGTGTCTTCTCAGGACATCATGTCAGAGGGTTCAGGATGTCAAAATGACTTCTCACGGGGGATGTTAACCTTGATCACTTGATTAATATGACATATGTTTGCTTTCTTCACCATAAAGTTGCTGTTTTTTTCAGAATAAATTTTTAATGGCTGTATGACTTTCCATTATAGATCTCTAACATAATCAGACCCTCTCTTTGTATATCATGTTTGTTACCTTTTTTTTTTCAATATTACAAAGAATGCTGTAGTGATCATTCTTATAGGCACATCCTTGCACATATCCCCTGACTATTTTGTTAGGGTAAATTTCCAGACATAGAATTGTTGGAGTAAAGATTATTCATATTTTCATAGATGTGGATGCTTGGGGCAGGGTGGGTTGGTTGTTTTAATCAGCTTTAATGAAGCAGAATTTAAATACAATAAATTGTACACATTTGGAGTGTATATTTCAAAGAGTTTTGGCAAATATGCATACCTATGTATCCCCCATCCAATCAAGATATAAAATATTTCATATTTCTAGGCCAGATGCAGTAGCTCAAACCAGTAATTCCAACACTTTGGGAGGCTGACAAGGGGCAGATTGCTTGAGCCCAGAAGTTTGAGACCAGCCTGGGTGACATGATGAAATCCTGTCTTTACTAAAAATACAATAAAATTAGCCAGGCATGGTGGCGTGTACCCATAGTCCCAGCTACTTGGGAAGCTGAGGTGGGAGGATAGCTTGAACCCGGGAGGTTGAGGCTGCAGTGAGCCATAGTCGCACAACTGCACTCCAGCCTGGGCCACATAGCAAGACCTTGTCTCTATATATGTGGCTGGGTGCGGTGGCTCACGCCTGTAATCCCAGCACTTTAGGGGGCTAAGGAGGGTGGATTACGAGGTCAGGAGTTCGAGACCAGCCTATCCAAGATGGTGAACCCTCGTCTCTACTAAAAATACAAAAATTAGCTGGGCACAGTGGTGGGTGCCTGTAATCCCAGCTACTTGGGAGGCTGAGGCAGGAAAATCACTTGAACCCCAGAAGCAGAGGTTGCAGTGAGCCGACATGGCACCACTGCTCTCTAGCCTGAGCAAGACTCCATCTCAAAAAATATATATACACATACATATATATATATGTATGTGTATATATACACACGTGTGTATATATACGCCTATATATGTATATGCACATATATATACATATATAGGCGTATATATACACACATATATATAAACTTTCCAAAATTTTCTCACACCCCCGGTTGCAGTCAGTTCTCCCCATGCCTCACCCCAGACAACCAGGGATCTGGTTTCTATTATCTCAGGTTAGTTTTACCTATTCTAGGACTTAGGGTAAACCAGAGTTATACAACAAATTCTCTTCTATGACTGTCTTCTTTGATTCGACATCACGTTTGTGATGTTCACCCATGTCGTCACGAATGTCAGTCATTTGTGTATTCTTATTGCTGGACAGTATCCTGTTGTATAAATATGCCATCATTTGTTTATTCATTGTTCCATTGATGGGTGTCTGGGCTGCTTCCAGTTTGGGGACTTTATGAATAAAGCCACTAAGGCATTGGCATACATGTGGACACGTGTTTTCATTTCTCTCGGGTAAATACCTCAGAGTAGAATTGCTGGGTCATAAAGTATGTATTCAACTTTATTAGACACTACGGAATGGGCTCATTTTCATCTCAATTTTACAACACAGGCCACAGAAAGCTTAAGGGACCTGTTTAAGGTCAACGGGAGGGAGAGGAAGAGAAATAGGATTTTTCTCCAGGAATTTAATGCTAGGTGCTTATCTTGTTCATCTCCTTTAATCCTCAAAGGAACCCTGTAAGGTGGGAACTCTGATTCCCATTACGTAGATGGAGAAACTAAGGGTCATGACCATGCAGCAAGGTCAGGTTCAATCCCAGCCCAGCATGAGTACCCAAGTTGTGTTTGTTCTTTTTTTTTTTTTTTTTTAATGAGATCGAGTCTCGCTCTGTTGCCCAGGCTGAAATACATGGTGCAATCTTGGCTCAATGCAACCTCTACTTCCTGGGTTCAAGCAGTTCTCCAGCCTCAACCTCACAAGTAGCTGGGATTACAGGTGCACCGCCACATCAGCTAATTTTTATAATTTTAGTAGAGTTGGAGTTTCACCACAGTTGGCCAGGCTGGTCTCGAACTCCTGACCTTAAGTGATCCACTCCCCTCGGCCTCCCAAAGTGCTGGGATTACAGGCATGAGCCACCGCAACTGGCCCCTGTTCTTTCACTAGGTATTCATCCTCCCTCCCTGGAAGAGAGCAGATGGCGGAGCTGGGAAGGACACGTATCTAGGGGTCTCGTGGCCTTGCCTTACCTGCACTCTGTGCCCATCCTGCTGGGGCTCCTGACAGCAATTGCCTGTGATGCCGGAGTCAGCCCTCTAAAGATGAGGATGGTCTGGATGGGAGACCCAGAGGGTGACCCACTGTCCAGCCCTCTGGCCAAAGGTGTAGAGTTTCTCCTACCTTGAAACTCAATCCTCAGTCCTGGGCACTTGGATCTGCTGGGCAGCTGGGTGGCGGGTGAGGGCAGCAGGCAGGGGCTATGTCTCCCTGGCCATATCGCAGCCCCATTAGGAGCTGGCCTGAGTGCTTTCTAGAGCTGATGAATGGCCTGCCTGTGACCTGGAATGTCATCACTGCCTGGGGCTGGGGGGCCCCCAGCTCCATCCTTTGGGTCTTTACTGATAATAATAATTGATGTTCTCTGTGTGGTTGCAGGGAAAGTTCTATCTGGTCATCGAGGAGCTGAGCCAGCTGTTCCGATCCCTTGTCCCCATCCAGCTGTGGTACAAATACATCATGGGAGACGACTCCTCTAACAGCTACTTTCTGGGAGGAGTCCTGATGGTTCTCTACAGCCTCTGCAAGGTGAGGTGACCCCAAGGCTGGAGGGCTGGCCTAAGGAGGGCCCCACTCACTAGCCAGGCCTCGGGGGCTCCCGGGGAAGCTGGAGCACCATGCTAGTTTCTTTTTGTTTTTAATTGAGGGAAAATTCACACAACATGAAATTAACCACTAACTATTTAATTTTTATTGTATTTTACTTAATTTTTTTTTAGATGGAGTCTCACTCTGTCGCCTAGGCTGGAGTTCAGTGGCACGATCTTGGCTCACTGCACCCTCCACTCCCAGGTTCAAGTGATTCTCCTGCCTCAGCCTCTCAAATAGCTGGGACTACAGGCACGTCCCACCACACCCAGCTAATTTTTTGTATATTTAGTAGAGACGGAGTTCCACTGTGTTGGTCAGGCTGATCTCGAACTCCTGGCCTCAAGTGGTCCGCTCACTTCTGTCTCCCAAAGTGCTGGGATTACAGGCATGAGCCACCGCGCCCAGCCTCCAGTAGCTATTTTAAAGTGTACAGCTCAGTGGCATTGAGCAGATTCACAATGTCATGCAACCAGCACCACCTCTGTCTAGTTCTAGGACATTTTCGTCACCCTGAAAAGAAACCTTGTGCCCATTAAGCAGTCCTTCCCCATCTTCCAGCCTCCCCTTCCCCCAGCCCCTGGCAGCCATGAATCTACTTTCTGTTTCTATGAATACTTATGATGAATGTTTCATATAAATGGAATCATAATAGGTGCCTTTTGTGTCTGGCATTTTCATTTAGCATTGTATTTTTGGGGTTCATCTACATTGTAAAGCATGTATCAGTATTTTTTCTGGTTGAATCTACCCCAATTTCTCACTTACGAAGCTCACCATGTGACATTCTTTTGAATAATCATCTTCACAACCCTTCAAGGTACCTGCTATTATTACTCCCTTCTTTGTTTTTTTTAAGACTGAGTCTCACTCTGTCACCCAGGCTGAAGTGCAGTGGCGCGATCTCTGCTCACTGCAGTTTCTGCCTCCCGTGTTCAAGTGATCCTCCTGCCTCAGCCCCGCTAGTAGCTGGGATTACAGGCATGTGCCACCACACCCGGCTAATTTTTGTATTTTTAGTAGAGATGGGGTTTCACCATGTTGGCCAGGCTGTTCTCAAACTCCTGACCTCAAGTGATCCACCCACCTCGACCTCCCAAAGTACTGGGATTACAGGCATAAGCCACCCGGCCCAGCCCCCATTACTCCCATTTTATGGGTTGAGAAACTGAGGTTCAGGGAGATAAGGTTACTTGCCCAAGGTTACTCAGATAAAGACAACAGAACAAGCATTGCACCCAGGCAGGCTGCCTCTAAATCACAGAAGCTCCTAATCACACGTCTACATCTACTGAATGTTTTCTGTCTCTCTCTTACCTCAAAATAGTATCCATGTTAAATTGCACACCCTCAACTCCTCAAATTAGTGTGCAGTGCTTTTCTCTTCATTGTTAGTACAAATCAGAGGGTTTTTCCCCGCTAAATATCCATACTTCCTTCTTTCTCTTTGGTTCTCCATTTCTGGCTTTAGAGAATCCTGGGAGGATGCATGAGTTCTTCTCTTTCCTTCCTTCCAGCAGGACTGGCCAGGCAATCCATGCAGTATCAGTCACTGGGACATACTGATTACTTGCTGGTTCTGATCAACACAGTGGCTGACTGGAGTGCTAGATAGAGAAGGGTTATGAGGGCAGGCTGTGCTCAGAGGAAGAGTGTTGTGATCGATTAGCAATGCCTGCCATGGGCTTGGGAGGGGAAATAGACACCACGTGTGCCATATATTTGGTATCCTGGTCTAGGTAACAAGGGAGACTGTTGATATTAGGCAGCAAGACAAAAGCCAAGCAACACTGTTGGGAAGGAAGACATGCAAATGGGAAGAAGAGCCCTAAAAATGTTCTGAGTCAAAATTGGGTGCAGGGTGAGTAGATGGGGTGAGGTGATTATATAGGGGTTGTGAGAGATTGTTGGGTGCTTTCCAGCCACCATCCTGCTCTCCTTTCAGTCCTTCGACATCTGTGGACGCGTGGGCGGAGTTAGGAAAGCCCTGAAGCTTCTCTGCACCTCTCAGGTGAGTTGGCTGCAGGTGGTCCCCACCAAAGTCCTGGAACCAAGAGCCGGAAACAGCAGCAGCCCCTCCCTCAGCCCACAGATCTCACGGTGCTCCTGAGGGCACGGCTCCCACGAGCATCCATAGCTCTATTTGCCTCTCCCCTCCCTCAAATAGAACTATGGAGTCCGAGCCACCGGGCAGCAGTGCACAGAAGCCGGTGACATCTGTGCCATCTGTCAGGCCGAGTTCCGGGAGCCTCTGATTCTCCTGTGCCAGGTAAGCAGGGCTCAGGTGGGGCCGTTGGAGACTGAGACTGGGAGAGGGCAGGATCCTTCCCCATGGGCAGTCCTCGAGTCTCTGGCATGGGTGTCTGGGGGGCAATGCAGTTAAGATCGGAGTCAGCCAGACCTGGGTTCCAATCTCACCTCTGCCTCTTAGTAGCTGGGTAGACTTGGGCACATTACTTCACCTCTCTGAGCGTTAGTTTCTTCAGTAAAATGTAGACATGCCAAACTCAGTATGGTGTAACATCAGAATATCCTGCATGTCAATTTCAGCAGCACCAAGAATGACCCCCCCATGTGTCAGTCACTCTCTCTCTGAGCCTTGGTTTTTCTCATGTCTAAAATGGACGTAATAGTGGCCAGGCATGGTGGCTCACACCTGTAATCCCAGCATTTTGGAAGGCCAAGGCAGGCAGATCACCTGAGGTCAGGAGTTTGAGACCAGCCAGGCCAACATGGTGAAACCCAGTCTCTACTAAAAAAAATTACAAAAATTAGCCAGGCATGGTGACACCTACCTGTAGTCCCAGCTACTCCGGAGGCTGAGGCAGGAGAATTGCTTGAACCCAGGAGGTGGAAGTTGCAGTGAGCCGAGGTCATGCCACTGCACTCCAGCCTAAGCAACAAAGCGAGACTCCATATCAAAGAAAAAGGGCATAATAAGAACACCTATTTTATAGAGCTATTATTATGACTAAAGTAGATCATCCATGGAAAGAGCTAAATTTCCATTATTCAACCATAGAAGTTGCTAGAATTATCGTTATTATCCATCTAATTATTATTACCATTTGTTTTTATTAGTTGTGGGTCACCAGCCCACAGTTGTTAAGTGCTGTCTGGCTCCTTTCAACTCCCTAAATGCGTCCCTCCTCCTCCTGACATCAGGGACTAGGTGTCAATTCAGCAAATGCGTATTGGGGTCAAAGCATCCTATCTGACCCTGGGAAGGAGAGACAGAGGGCACGCAGGTCCCGTCCTCTTCTCTGGAAGCTCACAGTCTCCACAGGGAGACAGACACTCACATAAATAACTGTGAAGCAAGGCAGGCAGTGATAAGTGCTGTGTAAGAGAGATTCATGCAGTGTCTCGGGGGGCCGGGGCAGAGAGCGCTGAGTTCCAGGTTGCGAAGGTTTCTTGGAGGAGGCATAGCCTGGAGAGCAAAAGGCATGGAAAGGCTTATGGGTCGGGGAACAGAAGGTGGGTTCCTTTTATCATCAGCAAGCATTTTGTTGTTGTTATTGTTGTTATTGCTGTTCAGAGATTTGGAAGGAGGAGGTTGTTTTTCATGTTCAATTTTATTTCTTTTTCAATGGACAATATATTTGCCTGAATCGAAATTCCAAAAGGAGACTGAAGAGCCATGATGGCTCACGCAGTCAGGGACCTGGGTTGGATCCCAGAACAGAGAAGGGACATTAGTAGAAAACGAGTTTGATGAAATCTGACTAGAGTCTGGAGTTGAGTTAATAGTGACATATCAATGTGGGTTTCTTAGTTTTGGCAAATGTACCACGGTAATGCAAGATGGTAACATTCGGGGAAACTGAAACCCAGTGAGGGGTGTACTGGGATTTTACCTTCTATCTTTGCGACTTTTCTGTAAGCCTTAAATTATTCCAAAATAAAAAGGTTATTTAAAAAAAAAATATTTGAAAGAGGCTGGGTGTGGTGACTCACACCTGTAATCCCAGCACTTTGGGAGGCCAAGGTGGGCGGATCACCTGAAGTTAGGGGTTCAAGACCAGCCTGGCCAACATGGCAAAACCCCATCTCTATTTGAAAAAAAAAAAAAAACTTTTTTGTAATCTTTGAAAGATATAAAAAGGAGACCTGTCATCATATGTATGTATATATATTTATTTATATACACACAAACATACCTTTTTTTAAAAAAAAAAAAAGGGTATGTTATCCGCAGGCACTTTCTCAAAACAAACAAAGAAACAAAAACCCTAAGTTATAATATATTCTACCTATGCTGTTTTCTGCACTTCCTTTTTTTCTTTTTTTTCTTTTTTGAGGCAGTTTCTCTCTTGTGACTCAGGCTGGAGTGCAATGGTACAATCTTGGCCCACCACAACTTCTGCCACCCGGATTCAAGCAATTCTCCTGCCTCAGCCTCCCAAGTAGCTGAGATTACAGGCATGTGCCCCCATGCCTGTCTAATTTTGTATTTTATGTAGAGATGGGGTTTCTCCATGTTAGTCAGGCTGGTCTTGAACTCCCAACCCCAGGCGATCTGCCTGCCTCAGCCTCCCAAAGAGCTGGGATTACAAGCATGAGCCACTGTATCCAGCCTGCACCTTCCTTTTTAACTTAAAATCCTATCTTAGAGATTGCTCCTTATCCTACTTTATAGCTGCATAACATGCCGTTTTATGGATAGACCACAGTTTGTTTTACCATTCTCCTATTGATGGGCATTTAGCAGCTAATAATCTCTTGTTATTACAAATAAGCCTGTCATGAATGCTCCAGAATGGGAGATCAATCGCACCAACCTGGGCCCATAGTGTTGATTAAATGTGAATTCAAGGGAAGCATTTAGAACTGCTCCTGGCACGAGGTCGGAGTTCAATAAATGTTAGCTCTTATGGGCATGCGCCCCATTTCACACACACATGAGCTCTTGGTAGGATAAATTCCTAGCAGCAGAATTATGAGGTCAGAGGGTACACAGTTTTGACAGTTATTGCTAAATCGCCCTCAGTAAAGAGTGTATCCACTTATGCTCCCAGTGTGCAGTATGACACAGCCGCTTGCTCCTTCCCGCACCAACACACGGCGTTACCAAGCCTCTTTTGAGCTTTGCCAATCTAACAGGTGACAAACGGTATCTCAGTGCAGTTTTAATTTGCATTTTCCTAATTATGAGCGTGGTTGAGCATCTTTTCATAAGCTTCAGAGCCATCTGTATTTCCTTCTTGGTAGCAGGGACGATTTGAACATGATGTCAAGGTGAAAGTCTGACAAGCTCTCTCAGCCTCAGTCTGTTTGTCTCTTCTCCATTCTTCTCCTAATACCACTATGTCTTCCCGAAGCTGGATTAGAAATTCTTGGGAGGGGTCAGACAAGACCCCATTGTCCCAGATCTAGGAGTAACAGCCACACCCAGTGCTGGTTAAGAACTGTACACATGGCCAGGCCGAGCACACATTTCAGGCTTGCTCTGCGGCTGTGAGCTAGGCCTGGAACGGCAGAGTTGATTCACACAGTGGGCCATGCTGATTCCTAAAAGCACTGAATGAGTGAACAAATGAATGAATGATTCAGCTTCAACATTGCTTCCTCCATAAAGGCTTTCCTAACTCTGCCCCCCCAGACTAGTCGTGTCCCCAGCTCTATGGTCTCATAGATGTCTGTATTTTTCCTTCTTAGCACTTATTCCAGTTGTTAACTAGATAGTTCACTGGGTAATTTAATGGGCAAGGTCTGTCTCTCTTCTGCCAAATTACAAGCAACATGAGAGCAGATACCATGTCTGTCTTGTTTAGTCACAGAGCCGTAGTACTGTATCAGGAAATATTGGATGGATGGATGGATGGATGGGATAGTTAGATGGATGGCTGGGATGGATGATGGATGGGATGGGATGGTTGAATGGATAGATGGAGGGAGGGAGGGAGGGAGGGAGGGAGGGAGGGAGGGAGGGAGGGAGGGATAGATGCATGGTTGCACAGATGCACAGATGGGATTGATGGGTGGGTGGATAGATGGGATGGGATGGTTGGATGCACTGTGTAGATGAATAGGATGGAGATGGATGGATGGAGGAATGGATGGATGGATGAGATGGGTAGAGGGATAGATGGGTGGATGGATAGGATGGGTGGATAGATGGATGGATAGGATGGTGGCCAGGTGGAGGAATGGGTGGGTGAGTGCAAAGGTGGGTGGATAGAGATATAAGTAAGTGAGTTAATATTTGGTTGGGCAAATGGATGGACGCATGGGTGGGTAAATTGGATGGATGGATGGATGGATGGATGGATGGATGGATGGATGGATGGATGGATGGAACTGGATGGTGACCAGGTGGAGAAGTTGATGAGTGAGTGCAAAGGCAGGTGGATAGAGGTATAAGTGGGTGAGTGACTGTATGGATGGCAAATGGATGGACAGATAGGTGGGTAAATAGGATGGATGGACAAATGGATGGATGGATGGATGGATGGATAGAATGATGTCCAAGTGGAGAAGAGGGTGGGTGAGCACAAGGTTGGTAGATAGAGGTATAAGTGGGTGAGTGACTGGGTGTGTGTGGGTGGGAAAATGGATGGACAGATGGGTGGGTATATAGGTGGGTGGGAGGGCAGGTAGGTGGATGGATGGGAAGAAGGAAGGAAGGATGGGAGGGAGGGAGGGAGGGGTGAAGAGCCTACTAGGCTAAAGCAACACCTTGTCTCCCCTGTAAAGACTCATCAAATTAAGCTCAATATGTCACTCCCACTCCACCCACTTCCCCCTGAGCTAGGGCTCAGCAAGCAGATTGTTAATGGAAGCTGGTCAGGGAGACACCAAGCATGTCATGAGGTTACGACTCAGCACACCTTCGCAGTTAGGCACTTGCAAGTATTTATGGTGTGCTCTCTGCCAGGCCACTGGGAGCCAGGAAAAGGGCATTTGAATACAAAATGAGGAGCTTGGTTTATTTAAAGGAGTCCTTTGCCAAAGAGAGGAGAGAGAGTACATTTAGAGAATGAACTGTCCTCCAATTCTTGGTCACTATGAGTTGGGTTTTTGCATGTTTTACGATATGAAGGGAGGAGGGCAAGCGAGAGAATGGGGACTCCTGTTGATTTTGCGTTTACAAGTTCTTCACACTTGATGCTTTATAGGCCTTATCTGTCCCCCTCCTTATAGACACTTGGGAGGGAATTAGTAACCCTATTTAATAGATGAAAACTCAGGCTCAGGAAAACAAAGGGATGGGCTTGCCTGAGGTCCCGCGGTTCCTCAGTTACAGAACCAGAGCCTCTGATGCCATTG